TATATGTACCACAACTTTTTTATCCAGTCATCTACTTTGGGCATTTGGGCTGCTTCTACGTTTTTCCAATTGTAAATAAAGCAGCAATAACCCATGTTTATTTTCAATTAGTACAGCAGCTGGTATGAAGTTTTGATTTCTCTTGTTCCTTTCTTTTGTGTGTGGGGCTGGGAAAGGAAATGTATGAGAACAGTGATGGCAATGAGGCTTATCGAGCACCCCAGTCCCTCTTGCCCCGCTTGGGGGTTCAGGGCCAGGAGGTACAGCCCATCTCCATGTTCTCTGTTTTGTACCAGAGTAGCCCACATTGGGTTGGTTTTAAAGAGTGAAATGAATTGCCAGTAATTAAAGTCAAAATGAGATTTCTGGGTATTTTTTCTATTATGTTAAAATTTAAATGAATTAGATTTTATATATATATATTGGTCTATCAAGTTCGTTTTATACTTCATTCAAAAATAATATAATAGTTTATTTTTACATCACTTGTGGCTTTTTCCATCTCAGTTGTAATCCCTGTGGGCTTCCCACCACCAGTTCACCTTGTGCCATCACCATAGTCCGTGCAGTTCCTCCTCCTGTCCCCTGCCATTGATTCTGGCACTTAAGTAGAAAAAAAAGCCCGCTGTTCTCACCACACTGGCCCACTCCTGTTTCCTGGAGGCTCCCCCAGACGTCCCTGGGAGACATAGTCCTGGCAGCTGTCCCCCGTCAGGTGGTTCAAGCACTTGACTTCGTAGAAGAATTTCAGTTGACCATGGTTTAGGTTGCATTTCACCTCGTGTAGACCAGACTTCGGTTTCGTGTCACAGGTGCCGAGGAGGTCATCATCCCAGCCGCTGTCTGCGTCCCAGACCTGCACCCTCAGGGGCCCCGCCGTGAGCAGGATCTCATCCTTAAACTCCAGCGTTTCCCCCCATTTGGGGTTGTTGTTGTTCCACACCGTGGCTGTCCTCTGCTCCCTGTTTCCAAAGAAGGCTTTCACATAGGCGTCCGTGGCGGTGATCCAGTCTCCCCACAGGCCTGTCGCCTGTAAGTCCTTAACCTTCAGGTTGGCCATGCCCTTGTGGCGGGGACAGCAGCCTTGGTTGGTGAGTGCCGTGTTGTGGCACACACACAGGCACGGGTCTTGGCCGCTGTGATGCCCCATAGGGCAAGGCCGACTGCACTTGCTCCAGCGTGCCTTGTCCAGCACATACTTGCTCACGGCCTGCCTCAGTGCCTCCCGGTGCGGGTCATGTCTCCTCAGCAGCACGTGCAGGGGCTCCAGGGCATAATCCACGAGGTCTGGGGTGGCCTTCAGGGAGTCTACCCACCGTGAGAATTCCTCGGGCCCGGTGCGTTTCCCAAACAGCAGGTCATGTGAGGAGCTGTGGTGGCCACCCACTACGTTAACGTAACGTTCCTCATAGGTCTGGTGGAAGGAGTATTGTATATTGTGCTTCTTCTTCTTCTCCTCACAGGCCTTGGCTTCTGATGAAACTGTGGCCTTGCTGCCTATATTGACCGCGGCCTCCAGATTCAGGCAGTCCTCCACCTCTCGGGCTGTGACTCCCTGCAAGGCCAATTCACAGGTGCGCAGGGCCGTGAGGGCTGAGATCCGGCCACCCAGGGTCATGGACTGGATAAAGTGGGTGCCGTAGTTGGCGATGAGCCTGAAGTATTCACTCTCCGTGGACTTGTTGAATTCAGGGAGGAGGGCCCTGAGGGCCTTTTTGAATTGAGGATGGAGTGGGGGATTGTGTACTAGTTTAAAACTGAGGGGAGAGAAAAACATCAGGTCCAGTAGTGGACAGTATTTTCCCCATTCAGTGACTCCCTCAACGTGGCCTAAGGCCAAAGTTAAGTGGCAGAACGTGGACTTGAGCCCAGGTGGCGTGGCTTGAAAGCCCAAACTACCGAATCATTGAGCCGGCAGAGAGACCCTTGCTGCCTGTTTTCCTTCAGTAGTAAGGACTTGGTATAGAAGTTTGCACTTTCCTTTTCAAAATAGTTTTTTTTTTCTCTGCTATTTATTTTCTAATTATAAAGACTGACGGGACTATACTGATGGTACCTGCTAGTTTTGGAAGTGAGTCCTGCCACTGCAGCCCTCATCTGTCTGTCTGCTCAACCCTGCATGTATAGACTCCTGACAACTCTGGTCACGTAGCTGTCCTGTCTCAGGGCTAAAGGTGGTGTGCTCATACAGGAAACCAGAGTAGTTGACTCTGGAGTCTACACATTCTTGGCTTGGAATCTGGGTCCTTGAGGGCTGGGGGTGATTGCAATTGCTCAGCATTGTAGCCTTAATGCCCAGCATAGGGCCTGACAAGCCAGATAGAAATGTGGGTGAAAGGTAAGTGTTGGGAGGGACCCACCCAGGTCTTTCCAGCCCTACCCAGGAAGGACCCCACAGCACTCATGATGCTCATAAAAGAGGGGGTTATTGGGAGACCTCCCTAACATCGTGTTCTCAGGCACGACCTGCTAGCTCCCCTCTCCCTGCTTGCCCCCAGGGCGCCTGGTCAGGTCTACAGTGGGGGGATGCCTTGGGGCACTGCCCCACCTGCTGTGTGAGCACCCGGATTGCACTGAGCTCCTGGTGGGGGCAGTCTCTGTGTTCCCATCTGGCTATACCTGGACTTTTACACCATCCTAAATTTAACCCCTTTTATTCAGGCCCTCTCATCCCCACTCCCGAGCTCACCTGTAGAATCGACATGCCACCTCATCCTTGGTAAAGCTGTACTGGTCATGGAAGGTTTTCCCAGCTGCAAAGTTAGCTTCCTCAGAATGCGAGCCAGCTATGGTCATGCGTGCGTTGATAAAGGGCTTGGGAGTCACATCCAGGCCTACCTTCCAGTTATTGTTGATCTTTTTAGCGGCATCTTGGGCCACACTCTCGACAGAGGTGACCTGGTCTTTGAATACCTGGCGCTGGCAGACCGAGGACTGGGCACGCCAGTGTGTGAGGGCCACAGGCAGGCGCTGGGGTTTCTCGTCCTGAAGGGAGTTCGTGCAGAGAGTGCAGGTGCCATCTCTCTGCTGGTATTTAGTTGTGTACACTGGGTAGGACCCTGAGCGCTTGAGACTGGTCACATCCATTCCCTCCCCTGCCAGCTCTGAGCCTGGCACAAAAGTCTTGTATTTTAGGCACTCAGAGCGTGTGGCAGTGTAGCAGGGGGCAGTGGTGGGCATAGGCAGCAGGAGGAGGAGGATCCCCTGGAGAAGCACACAGGTGGCCATAGCACTGCAGAGACAGGAGGCACTGGGCTTCAGGAGCTGCGGGCTGAAGTCTGGAGGGCACCCCACTCCTCCCCACAGCTGTAGGTTGTTGGGACCTGTGGAATCCAAAGGGAATGTGATCTCTTTTGAGTCCCTGAATGTCAGAGCTGGAACCACCCCTATAAACCTGGGCCTCCCCCCACAGTGTACAGCTGGACCCACAGAGGAGAGGTGAGTTGGCCTAGGACACACAGCCAGATGGATGCCCTGATTTCATTATGGAAACCTAGCAGAGCTCCAATTCTGTGGCTTTGTCTTTAGCATCACAAAGCTGTTAGTGGTGAGAGGGTGTTGTGGACAGAGGAGGGGGGCAGAGGAGGGGCAGGCCTTAGCTTTAGCAGATTTTGGGGAGGGACCTGGTGTTTCTAGAGAAGTCTAGGTTCTGGGAAATGCCATTTTGACCCCTGTACACTTACTTCTCTTACCCATAGCCCTTTTACTCCCCATCCCCACTCTATCTGCATACTGGGTCCTTGAGATAATGGGAAAGAGGTTAGGCTAGGATTCATCCTTAATCGCTCCATTTCCCCTTTAGGGAGCTTTTACTGAGCCTCATGGAAGAACATCAGTCTGAGTTCTAGAATAGAACTCCCATATGCCTGTACCCTAGGATCTGGCTCGGGAGAGGCCTTTAAGCTTGCTCTAAGGTCTCCTATGGGTGCTCGGGTCTCCTGTTTGTTAGCCCCTGCCACAATGGGACCCCCGGCAGTAAGTGTGCGTGCCCTATTGCCTATGATTGGCTAACAGGTACCTAGAAGTTTCTTTTCTCTTTGAGGTGGCTCTGGAGCCTCAACTAGGTTTGTTTATAATCTGGAATCTCCCTTCTTTACCCCTATCTAAACTGAGTTCCTTGGAGGCCTTTCCTCTCTGGCATCTGGCAGAGGCAGCTGACTCTCTGAGCCCCAGGTTTATGGAGGGCGTGAACTCCCCCTGCACTCTACCTGGAGCCTCTGTGCCTTGCCCCAAGGAGTGACTTGAATGAGAATTCCAGGCAAGTTGGCAGCCCCAGAAGGTAAATAGGCGAAGACAAGTCTTTGGCATCAACACCTGGGATCATCCACCTTAGGAAAGCCAGCAGAGTTCACCACCCTAATCTAAGGAACTCAGTCTCCACACTGACCCTCATCTTTTATCTCCCAGGGTGCTTGTTTTCAGTATTTGTAGTAACTCTCACATTGGCATCTGAAGGGCCTAGGAGACTGTGTGCTCTAAACTCTTTGCTTGGTATATGAGGAAACAGGCCCAGAGTGGGCTCAAGGCTGCTCCATGAGATAGCATCAGAGCACAGGAATCAAGTCTCTCACGTGAATCATCACTTCCTGCCTCTGTCAGGCAGTTTCCTTCAAAGGAGTGACTTCCTGCTCCATGCTTCTCTGTGCCCACCCAGGGGCTCCCGGGTCCCCCAAACCCTCCTGCTTTCTTACCTGGAGTCTCACAGGAGGCTTCTGAAATGATGGTGTCAGGTCCTAGGCAGGCTCACCACTCCATGCTCTGGTCTCTCTTATCTCTCTTAACACCTCACTTCCTGACCCCGCCCACGCTGTGTCACTTTTTTTTTTTTTTTTAAGATTGATTTATTTATTGATACAGAACTGGGGTACAGGCCAGAGATGCGGTGGGTGAGGGGATTTACCAGAGACAGAGTGGGGAGCAGAACAGGCAGATCCACTAAGTACACTGCTGAGGGGAGCAGCTGGCGGGTCAGGAGAGGTCTGCTTCGCCATGTGGATCTCCTCCGGGGCAGGCCGGAGTCAAACTCATGCGGATGTGGAAGTGGCTTAAGCTTCTTAGTGCTGTGCTTTAACCCACTGTGCCTCTAGGGAGGGTCCAGCCCCAACACATGTTTAAGCACTAACTTTATGTCAGGTGCTGGACTGGATGAATTATGAATAAGATGGGAATGGCCCTGGTCTCACAGTGCTATGATGAAGAATATGGTTGCTGTGTACTAGGGCCCATAATTTAGATTTGGCAATCACCTTTGAAGTGGCATCATGAAGGCTAAGGAGGAATTAGGGTTCTTCTGAGGAGAAAAGTTCCAGGAAGGGAAGCAGCATGTGTGAAGGTCTCGGGAGGCGTGGCCAGTAGAGGAGCCAGTCAAGTCAGTGAGCCAAAGCTTAGTGAAGGTATAAAAAGGAGCAAAGTGAGCTCACTAGGGCTGTGGGTCATTTTAGGGGATGTGCTTTCTTTTAGGAGCCACAAGGAGCCAATGAAAGCTTTAAGCAAGGCAATGATGTGATGATCAGATGTGTGTCTTCGCTGATTTCTGAGGCTGACCTAGAGCTTTGGATTCACAGTTAAGTCGTTTATATGGGAGGTGATTCCAGAAAATACCAGTACAGTGGGAATTTGAGACAGGAGGGAAACAGCAAATAATGTTAAGTCAAGCAAGTTACCAC